GAAGAAATTGGAAAAACCAAGAAAAGTGAAAGCCTAAAAATAAACTATCATAAAAAAAATTCTGTACAAATAATATAATATATTATAATATATTTTAATATTCTAAAATAATTATACTTGAATACATATATATATAGAGAGAGAAAGAGAGAGAGAGGGAGAGAGAGAGAGAGAGGGAATTTATATGGAATTAAATAATTAAATTAACTAAATTATACTACGGTCGAGGTTAATATTCAAAATATAAATGTAATGAAACTTAAATTATGACAAATTTTTATCAGTTTTCTGCAAGAAAATAGCTGGAAAACACATTATTTATTTTATCATGCGGAAGGAAAGAATGGAAAAAATCTAACAACTACTGGAAAGATTGCAGGGAGAAGAGATCACATTCAACAACGAATAACATTCGTGAAGTCCTTGCCTCACTTGTTGAATATCACCACATTTCAACTACTACAAAGTGTTAAAGATCGGGTTTTGTGGAGGTCGATGGTCGCCAATGTCCTGAAAGTATAAGGCACTAAAAAGAAAGAAGAATTTATGCAATAAGAATATTCTTTCGATTTTTTGCATGTGATCCTGATACAGTGAATCAAGCTGGTATTTTTTTTACTAGATTAATGTAGCACTCAATTCCTTAAGCATGAAAATGTATAATTTGATAAAGGAAACTATTTCAGTTCGAATTTTACAACAACTTTAAAGAAATTATAAATAAACGAATCAAAATCGACCTCAATTTACAAATTATAACCAAGACTGAGTCGTCTTAATCACCACCATCTTCATCATCACCATTATTATTATTATTATTATTATTATTATTATTATTAATATTAATATCATAATATGAATTATAAGAATAATAATAACACATCGAAAAAATGATTCAAATAGTTACAAGTTCAATGAAATGAAAAGCGTCCAAAAATCGTAGATAAGAATAATGAAAAAAATTATTGTCATTATTATAAGATCAGTCATCCTCATTACCATCTTTATCATCTTCATGAATATTTATCACTACCATCAATCCTAAACCCTAATCAACGGATCATCGTCAGCCCCAGCATCGTCATCATTTACATCGCCATTTATGGCCCCAGCATGGCGGTCAACCGGATTATTGTCACTGAGAATGTTAGCAAGGAGTTCTCGGAATTTCGTCCTCAGGTGTGGAGGGAGTTCTCGGATTATACTCCTGATGGCTTGAAGTAGCTTGGCACTTCTATTTTTTAAGAAGTCAATTTGGTCGTTTTGACTTTGAATCAGGTGGTCCTGGGCTGTTGATAGGATTCTGCGTGAATGAATAAATGAATGAAAGAACGAATGAATGAAGGAGGAGAAATAAACAAATAAATGAATGATTCCTACCCATATCCAACCATCTTCTTGGTGGTACTTAGTTCATTATCCAATGTCCTACTTGGCTCTATGTTGTTGAACAAGACATCAGGTTTCCTCTTTGAACTATTGTGTCTCACAATTATTCCTGAGAACGTGTGCGTGCGTGCGTGCGTGTGTGTGCGTATAAATAAAAAATTAATTTAAAAAAATCAATCAATCAGTCACACTAAACAAACTAAATGAACAAATATTTAAGCATTCAATCAATCAACCAACCACCAATCAATCAATCAACTAACTGCCCAACTCAACCAATTAACCAAGCAACTAACGAAAGAAACCAATCACTCAACCAACAAACAGTTCAATCAACCAATCAACAACATCCACTCAACTTATATACCAACCAACCAGCCAACATAATCTCCAAATTAACCACCCAGTCAACCAGCCAACCAACCTGTTAACATAACATAATGGTAGAGGGAGATAAGGACCTCGACTACCACGATAATTTGGAATGAGATATAGTACAACTCCATTTTGAAAATGCCATGGTCACTCTCATCATCCTTAAGTATGTAGTAGTATATGCTTATGAAGAACAGCATCAGTGTGTTTCCTGGTTAATAAAATAATTATTTATTTATTTATTAATTAATTAAAATTTATTTATCCCAAATAATTTCGTTAAATGATTTTTCAACAGATGATACCCCACAAAACAACACACATTTAGACGATATTTTCCCCAAAATCGGGGGTTGCCGTTTGGCTACCTATGATGAAACCGAAATACCCCTCGACGCCATCCACATCTGTCACTCGCCTCAGTATCACGCAACCCCGCTTTCACCCTGTCCTTCTCCACCCGCTCTCTCCATCCCAATCGCGGACGACCCCTTCCTACCACTCCTTCAACCTCGAACTCCAACGCTCGCCTAATCCCAACCCTTTCATCCCTTCTCAACACATGTCCATATCACCGCAATCTCGATCTCCTTATCAATGTCACAATGTCCTCATTCAGTCCCATCATCGACATCAGCTCTGTACTACTCCTCCTATCCTTCACTTTAACCCCACACATCATCCTCACCATAGCTCTTTCAGCCCTCTGCAGTACACTTTCTTCTTTCCTCAACACCCAAGTTTCACCACCATACTATTCTCACACATACTTTATATACCCTCCCTTTCATCTTCACTGACCATTTCTTTCCACACAATACCCCACCCAGTTCCCTAAATTTCATCCATCCCACACGAACTCTAGCCGTAACATCCTCCATCCGCGTTCAGCTTATCCCCTAAGTAAACAAAGCTTTCCACTCTTTCATTACCACCACCCAACCCCGTCCTATTAATCACACCATGAACACATTTCTTACATTTGAACGTACCTTCCACCTTTTTCAGTGCCCCCCTCACACCACTACATCTCTTATGCACCCATTTCTGACATCCTATACACAATACCGAGTTAGCCTTCACTTTCCTGTCACATACCCCACAGGGATTTATTTTACTTATCACTCGCTCCCCACTTTCCCCACTCACCATTACCTTCGTCTTACCAATATTAACTTTGTTTTGTTTTGTTGTTGATACCCCACAAACACTCAAAACAGCTAATAAAAAACAGAGCAAATAAATAAACCAACCAATTGAAAACCAAAAAAATGGAGCCCTGATCATTCTTGCAGTAATCCTGTAAAGATCGGCGTAACCTCTTTCGTAAGCCTTCTCAAAATCATACTGTATAAGAATCGTCATAGTGATTGTGTAAAAGTAAACTATGATATTGACGAGGGCAGCTATTTCCATTGGGGAGTAGGCTATTTTCAGAGCATTTATGTACCAGTTCAGTGGAATTAAAAGACAGCCTAAAAGGAGCTGTGTAAAAATGTATGTATGTATTTATGTATGTATGTATGTATGTATGTATGTATGTATGTATGTATGTATGTATGTATGTATGTATGTATGTATGTATGCATGTATGTTTGTTTGTATTATTACAAACTGTTTGTAATAATACTTACATACATCATACATACATAAGAAGGGATGAGCATGAATGATGGAATAAAGGCACTAAATTAAAAGACAGCCTAAAAGGAACGGTGTAAAAATGTATGTATGTATGTATGTATGTATGTATGTATGTATGTATGTAAGCATGTATGTATGTATGTATGTATGTATGTATGTATGTATGTATGTATGTATGTATGTAAGCATGTATGTATGTATGTAAGCATGTATGTATGTATGTTTATATGTATGCATGTATATATGTATTTATACAGAAATAAAAAAAATACACCAACATGCACAATTATGGTTAGTATAGTAGCAATATGAGATTTAAGTGGCTGAAACTCTGAATTATTGAATACGACATCACTTGATCGACCTTCCTGTTAAGTAATATTACTATTCTGTTAAAATTTTAATTAGCATTCTCTACAATCTTTTCATTTCATTAATTTTAATTTTTAATACTTTTTAATTTGATATTTAATTAAATTTCATAACTACCACAATTATACATGCATGATTAAAAATTAAATAAATTGGCTAGGGAAAAAAACTAACTTCACTCATAACAAGATTGCTGGTAGAAGTTGAGCTTGTACTTGTGGTGGCCCCACCGTTTTGTGAGGATGCCATCTTGTGAGTATTTTATTATAATTTATTTATATTGACTATCAGCCTAATTTTCACCTTTCTCATTGATAAAAACCAGCAAATATTGTCTTTTTCGTTTATCTATATAAAAAGATTATAAATTTAATAGTTAAGAAACTGCAAGCAAATTCTTAAAGTAAATGAAATATCAAATGAAAAATCAGTTGCAAGAGAAATTGTTGTTCAGTTCCCTCTTTAATAATTAAAGTTTAATTTAAATTTAAAATCTCTTAAATTGTTCCTTTGTTGTCCTGTTGCAACTTTGAAAGTTTTACATTATAAAAACAACTACTTCTCGCCGGGACGGAAATTCATTGAAATTTAATTTTAAAAATTGTAATAAAAAAAAAATGTCAAACCTTCAAGAATCGGAACTTTGAAAAGAGTCTCACAAGGGAATCTTATGACAAAAAAAATTATAATCGAATTTACTTTTAAAAGCAATTAAAAATATGAGAACGAAAAGCCAATGGCCAGTTAGCTAATTAAATGGAAAGCTTGCTATATATGTATAACTACAAATAAATAAATATATATATATAATAATTAATATAAAACTTAATCAAAGTAACAAATTAAATAAAGATTTAATGTCTATTGTGCTCTTCCGAGGTTTAGAGAAACGATTGTGTGTTAATGAAGACATACAACAGCTCCATGTTTTTTGGAAGAGATGCAGTGGTGATATAGTGAATTAAGCTGGCTGTTTGTTACTAGATTCAGGTAGTAGGTCATCATATGCTTTCATTCCGATGTTGTTGTACTTACAAACACATAATACATATATATACACACGCATACAAAGCCATTAATTAACACAAAATGAATCATTTTGTCGAACCAATGTACGTGAAACTTAAAAAATTATAAAGAAAAACATTCAGTCATCTTGTCATCATCAGTATTTTTATTGGGTAAAAATTCAATATTATTAATTTGTTATCATTATACTATTAGCGTCTAATATTTTCAGATGCATTACGTTGGCCTTTAGTGTGATTTAGATTAGTAGTAGCAGTAGTAGTAGAAGTTGTTGTAGTTTTAGTAGTAGTAGTGCAAGTTCTTTTATCATAATTATTAGTACCACTGTTATTATTATTAACATTAGTATCATTATTTCCTCTGTTTTTATTATTATTTTCTTTGTTATTATTTTTAGTGAAATATTTATTAGAGACGTATTCCTTTCTAGGAAAGAAGCTAGCGTTCCGTGGTGATGTTGTTGACGAGCTTTTCATTGGCTGTGGTAGCCTAACAGTCAGAGAAGAACTCTTCTCTGATTGGCTGCTTGATCGAATATTACTTCGTGATTGGCTAACACCCAGAGCCAAACTCTTCTCTGATTGACTGGTTGGTCGAATACTACATCGTGATTGGCCAACACCAAAAGCCAAACTCCTCTCTGATTGGTTAGTCGACCGAATACTACTCCGTGATTGGCTAAAACCCATGGCCAAACTCTTCCCTGTATGGCTAGTTGATTGAATACTCTTCAATGATTGGCCAGTTGGAGCCAGTTGCTTTCGTTCTAAAACCTTTTTTGTTGCTAGGCTTAATTTGGAGGCCATCTTTGTTTTCGAAGCGTCTTTGTTTAGCTGGTTGGATGAGAAACATTAAGTAATGATAATTATAAGTGATATATCTTTTAGAATTATTAGGCATTTTGATTATTCATCACCAGCTAACTCGAAAAAGGTGATTGATTACAAAACTTTCATCATCAACTCATTGTCATCATCATCGTCATCATCATTACTGACTTTCATCATTTTATCATTATCAATACTTCTCTGTCTCCTGATCATCATCATCTTTTCGCGAGTTGATGTCTCCATGAAAACTTCATTCAAGTCGTACATGGTAGCAGTTAACTGATGATGATGATGATGGTGATGATGATGATGATGGTGATGATGATGGTGATGATGATGGTGATGATGATGGTGATGATGATGAAGAAGATGATGATAATGGTGATGATGATGAAGAAGATGATGATGACCACACACACACACACACACACACACACATCACACACACATACAAACACAGACCTGTTTGTTGACTCTAATTAGGAGATTCTTATCTAGGTCAGTGCAAACTGACCTCGTTTCTGATTGGACGGCTAGGGCTAGTTCGGCCGCATCCTAAACGCAAGTGTGACGTAATTAACAATAATAATAATAATAAAAAAAACAACAACGGCAAAAATAATAAAAATAATAACAATCAAATTAATAATAATAATAATTATAACAATATAAACACCATTACTAACGCCGATGGTTTTGATGAGGTTTCGAACGCGGTCTGTCTCGAATAACCTCCTAGTCAGGTAACCTTTTACTATAGAAGCCAGCTTCAAGTACACAACCTATAAGGAAAAAAAAATTATCCCAATCATCATCATCATAATTATGAAAATACTACTATAGCCGCTACTGTTGTTGCTACCGCTACTGCTATGGTGGCTA